GTTAGTCACCATGTGGGTGCTGGGAGCCAAACCCAGGTTCTCTGCAGGAGCGGCCAGTGCTCCGAACCCTCGAGCCACCTTCAGCCCCAGATTACACTTTTTTTTCACAACTATCCCATTATTTTCAAGCTAACAGCTTTGGGTAAATTTAGAAATTATAAAGAGGTCTTTTGCACAGCTCAGTGTTTTGTTTTTGTTTTTAAATCTGTTCCTGAAGGGGAACCCATCATGACTGTCAAATTCCAAGACATCATTTTGTCCCCAGATCTCCACAGTCACTTCATTCCCCCATTTCTACCCCAGGCAACTGTCAAGCTGCTCCTTTATCTCTGTGGATCTGCAGAGTTTGAAGTCATCCATCACACAGCTTGGGGAGACCTGGCTTTGCACAGAGCACAATGTCTTCAAGGTTCCTCCATCCTGTCTCCTGGGGAAGCACTTCCTCCTTTTTACAGCTGAGCAATATTCCACTTCATGGACGTACCACACTTTGCTTGTTCTCCCAGTGAATGGGTTGTTCGCAGTTTTTGGTTATTTGGTTATCATGAACGTCTGTTCCATATGGTCCAGAGAAGGACTTAGGATAGCTGTGCTTTAGCTTTGAGTGGTTGAGCTCATTAAGCATGAGGCAATCAGCAGTAAATTATCAAGTAGCAGACAGAAGATAGGAAATTATCAGAATCAGGCACTCACAATATCCATCAGTTGTAGCCAGAGCAGCCCAACCGAGAGCACAAACAGGACATGACATCATCACATCAGCACTCCAAACTTATATTTAAGTCTTTGTTCCAGTTTTTTGATTGCTTTATATTTTGAGATAGGGTCTCCCTGTAGCCCCATGTGGCCTGGAACCTACTATGTAGACCAGGCTGGCCTTGAATTTACAGAGATCTGCCTGCCTCTGCCTCCCGAATGCTGGGATTAAATGTGTGCATCATCGTCCCTGGACTTCTGGTCTAGTTTTAACTGAATTCTATATTTACCCTTTCATTTTGAGTTGTGAGTTCTTTATTCTGGGTACTAGGCCTTTATTGGTTATGTGACTTGAAAGTATTTTCTCCTGTTCTGTGGACTGTCTTTTCATTTTACCAAAAAATCTGTACATGTGTGTGCATGTGTGTATGTGTGCATACTTGTGTGCACATGCCTGCTTGAAGAGCCCAGAATAGAGAATTGGATCTCCTTGAGCTGGAGTTACAGGTGGTTGTGAACCACCACCCATGGTGATGTCAGTTCTGAGATGTAAAATGGGTCCTTGATCTCTGTGGCCCCTGTTCATTTTCTTGATAGTATGTGTTGACATATAACAGGCTTTAACTCTTAAAAATAATCCAATTTCCTGCTTTCCTTTGGTTGTTTATACTGTTGGGGTCAAGGCTAAAGAAGGGTTGCTTAGTCTAAGGTCAAAAGATTTATTTATATGTTGCCCTTCTGAAAATTTTAAAGTTTTAGCTTTTGTATTGAGACCCTTGATCTACATTGCAGGATTTCTGTATATGATGTGAGGTAAGGTATGTGGGCTTATTTCAGAACTCTGTTTGAATCCATTGATCTACATGTCTACAGATGTGCCAGTGTCCCATCATGCTAATTTCTGTGTCTTTACACTGAGTTTTAGAACTCAGGAGGTCCATGTCTTCTAATTGCCCTTTTCTCAACATCACTTTGATTTCCTCTGTGGTTGTCAGATTTTGAAATATACATTACACTGGCAAACTATTAGGTGCAGTTGAAACTTGTTGATAGCAGACACTGCTCGAGTGAAGAGGCTCTGTCCCGTATCAGATCCAAGCATATTTGTATAAAGTGTTCTCCAACCCCACCCATCCTGGGTCAGGCTGGCCTTCTGGCTCTGTAATGGGGGGTGGGAAAACAGCGAACTAAGGGCATTAACACTATCCTGCCCTTGGGGACAGCTGAAGGTAAACTATTTCTAACAGTTTATCCCAATACAAAAGTGTCTCTAACAGGAAGAGGAAGCCGGGAAGACTCTCATGTGGGAACTCTGGTGTGATTGCTTCTGCCTGGTCCTTGTCTGCTGGGTGCTGGGAGCTCTTGAGTCAACGGGGATTTGCTTTTGTTTTCCGTCGCAGTCAGGCTTCCCCATCACTGGTTTGATGCTGTTTTCCCATGTTCTCTCTATCTCTCTTGATCTGGTGCTCACTGTTCGTTTGCTTGATTTGCTCCATCATCAATCATCTCACTTAGAAATGAGAGCAGGTTCTGTCATGGACCACGAGGACCATTTCAGGCTCTGTTCTAATTTCCTCAGTAGCGGCAGCGGAGGCTGAGCTGGATCTGCCCGTCACCCTGGGGACCCTGCCTCCCAACGTCACATCTTTTCAGGGCTTTTCCGCCATTTACTTAGGTCTTTAATTTCTAAAAATTATGTTTTCAGTATACAAGTCTTGTGGTTTGACTTGTTAAATTTGTCCTTAAGTACTGTCTGAGTTTCTGTTACTGCCAATAAAATACTGACAAAAAGCAGGGTAGGGAGAGAGGGCTTATTCAGCTCACAAGTACAGGTTACAGTCCATCAGGGTAGGGAGTCAAGGCCACAAGAACTTGAAATAGCTGGTTACGTCCAGTTCAGAGCAGAGAAAACACAAGCCTGACCTACCTAGAAGTCCTCCCCAGGCATGCCCCCAGTCCAACCTAATCGAAAACGATTCCTCACCCAGACTCTGTTTTCAGGCTATTCTAGACTCTGTGAGACTGACAAAACTGACCATCCAAGCACCTTAGTCTGTTCAAAATGACGAAAAGTGGACCCATTTTCATAAATCCGCTTTTGGATTTTTATGTACTGGTCTTAACTCTCCAATCCTGCTGAATTCGTTATTTATAATAACTTTTTCTTTTGTGTATGTGGATTTCTTAATTTTTTAAATACACAGTTTATGTCTTCTGTGAATGGAGGTGGTTTTAAGTATTTCCTATCTGGATGTTTATTTATTTTACCTAACTACCCTGGATATAACCTCCCATATAATGATAAATAGAAATGGCAAGACTAAATTTCTTGACCTGACGATGTGTGACACTAGTCCTAGGGAGAGGTTAACAAACGTCTTCTCATCCCAGATAGGGAACCTACAACAGTCCTAAGTGAGGAGACCATCACAGCCCAACTTGGTGAACCAATAAGTTTTATTTGGATTATTTACAGGAACACAAATGACTCAAAGACATATTCCAAAGTCCAGCATGGATGGTGGGCGACAGCTCACAAAAGCTGGAAATCTGGTGCACACTGCACAACTTGTAGGCGGCTTGACAGGTTAAGAGTGTATCTTCCATGTAGCTCAGTGGGTCTAAGCCTCTTCCAGGCAGCTCAGCTGATCTCTCTCTCTTCCAAGCAGCTGGGCTTATCTGAGTCTCTCTGCAGTCTACACTGCTTATATAAGCTTGAAGAGGGAGGAGCTAGTGAATCTGGTCAACTTCAGGGGCTTCCTGAAGCTATTGAGTTGTTTCCTTCCTAAGCTTAAGGAGCTTCCCTGTAGGAAGGAATGTGTCACCTCCCTTTAGGACACCCTGTGTCTTAACCAGCTTCCCTCCAAGATGGAAGGCTTTATTTATCTGGGAGGAAAGTGCTGCAGGACAGCTGGTCTCAGCCCATAGGATGCCAGCTGTGCAGACCTTTACAGATGCTCTCCACCGTGTTTGATGGGCCCTTCTAAAGCTGTTGAACCTATGGTGAAAGGATGCTTGAATTTTTGTTACATGCTCCGTGTCTGTCTAGATGATCTATGGGGTTTACACTTTATTCTACTAGTCTAGGTATAGTTCACTGACTTTTATATGTTAAGCCAATTTTTTCTTTCTTAAAATAAGACCCGTTTGACCATGGTATATAGTATTGTTTATAAGAATTATTTTTATTACGTGTATATGTGTATCTCTGATTCTGCATGTGTACCCGCACATTGACTCCCCTGGAGCTGGAGTTACAGGCAGTTGTGAACCGCCCCGCATGGGTGGTGGGAACCGAACTCTGGTTCTCTTCAAGAGCAGTGTGCACTCCGAACTGCTGAGCCATCTCTCCAGCCTCCCATGAACCTCTCCACTGTGGCGCTCAGCTTGTTATTAGCCTTTTGGGAATTTATTTAGCATCTGTCTTCACAAGGAGCGTTAGTCTGCAGGGTGTTTTTAAAATAGTATCTGCCAGATGTTAATAAGGATGCCTTTTTATCCATTTACTTCTTGGCCTAAGTTGTCTGCCTTTTATGTCTGTCATTCTTTTATATTGCAGTTTCTGCTTACCGAGGACCAGAACTTTGTATCTAATATGATCCCAAGAAAGGACAGAACGGGTGTGTGTACTGCTGTATATGATCCTGGTGATATCCGATGACACCTTTCTTGGTTATCTTACAGGTGAAGGATATCTGGTGGATACCTAATTCCCACTGCTCTTTGAAGCCAATGTCACACCCTACCTTCTCCAGGGATGTCCTCATAAAAGACTTCCCTACTGTTGGGGCTCCTAAGCACTTCCACCTCCGCCACTCCACAGGGCATTCAAGGGGAGTCAGGTGCTGTGAGCTCTGCAATAGACTGCAGTGTGTTCTTTCTCACCTGAGAGAATTTTACCTCTGGCTCCACTAGTATTTCCAATAAGTACCTTGCCGTCAGTTCATAACCAACATGTGTTGCTTGAATATTTTCTTAATTCATCCTTGATATAACACCCAGGGATATCATGGGATATATAAAATTATTTATAATGCGTTTAAGTTCATCAGGATGAATAAAATAAGCAATTATGAATTTTAACACATGTCAACTATTCTCATCTAGTCACTAACTACATTAAAGAATTGAAGCATATAAAATCTATTGTTTTTCATTAAAAGTACATTGTAGTGTTTCACAGGGACAGTGAGAACTGAACCTGGGAAGAATAAACGCTGTAACCAGTAGCTGCTTAGGAAACATGCCCGGGTGAATCGTTCCTTCTACCGTTAGTCCCTGGCTTTCCAAGGTGTGGCTTGTACCTGGTGTCAGCAGTATGACCGACGTGACGATCAGAGAGCAGATGACCAGGATGACCAGCAGCGCGATGGCGATGCCTTTCCAGTTTCTCTGCGGAGGGTTGCTGCCCACCAGCTCCTGAAGAAACACCACAGAAAGGGACAGGTGAGCGCGACAAGGGGAAACAAGCCAAACCACCAGCACCGCACCCAAGAGAGACCAGGGCAGCGGCGGAGGCCTCTCCCACCCCAGGGACGGCCACCAGGTGTGTCCCAGACCTTCTCCCGCTGTGCCCCGAGGCCCCACTCAGTCCCTCCCCATGCCAGGAAGAGACTGTCTTCACAGCACATCTGGCACGATAGCATACATAGATCTCGTGTAAATACAATGTCCCTGCTGCCCAGTGAAGTAGACTACAGTGCAGGGAGCCCTTGGGACCCTTTGTCAACACCACCTACTCAGTCCTCCTAGGACCACGTAATCACACTCAAGGCTGACTGAATTTTCCAGCCCCTTCTTCTCTGTGTTCCTTTCTTATGATCATCCCCTTAGCCATCAGTAGCTGCCAGGTGCCGATATTTAGTGCGCACTGTGCATCGCTACCAGTCAGCGTCTTGTGTCACTCGTTGGGAGCTTTGCTTCTCTTCTGCTGCCTGTGAACAAACCATTCCCAGGCCTCTCTCCCCCAGGTGACTCACCCAGCCCTGTTCTTTTAGAACCTTCTGTGGAACCACATGTGTGTGGTTTCCAGGGCGGAGGTGGCAGGGGCATCTAGAGACATTTGCCAACAGTTGAATAAATCTAGGAACTTAATTGGGCTTATGTGATCCTTATGTGAGACCAAGCTTTCCATTCCTGATCATATAATTTATAGTTCCCATTTGGGTTCTTTAGAAATGAACGGTGCAATATTAATAACCACCAACAAGAACTGTATGTAACAGTTATATATTGATTATTATTAATTATGTAAGAGATACAAACAAGGGCATTTGGTCTCAATGAAATTGGATACTTCATAGGTCTGGGAACTTTGCCTTTTATAGTGTCTGGTATTATGGCTCATAAGCCAAGAGGAAGCAGGACAGAGATGGTTTCCAAAGTAGATTATGCAATACAGAGACATTTCATCCATGCCTGGATGCACATTCGAAGGCACCAAATGATTGGAAATGAAAATGAACATGAAGCTTCATTGATCACACGCCCGACCTGATTCAAACACACCCACAACGTGGTATTAAGCCAAGGCTGAACCTTGCAACAGAAAATTACACACAGAGTGTGTCTAGGAAGAAGACCAGATAAGATGCTTGCAGACTATGAAATGTGAAGGATGAAGGAAATGCTCAGCCTCAGGTACCCAAGTTTTCATCCCCTGAAGATGGGCCACCTGAGGGATGAAGACCTCAGAAGGCAGCAGACTCACAGGAGAGCCACAGAGGCAGAAGGATGTGTTGAGAAAACGTGGGGCTGTTAATACTGCCCTACAATGGAAGGGACTGCTTCCTTGTGAGGACAGTACGATGGACAAACGTTTAACAGGGTCCTGGGGGCCAACGCAGTCTGTCAGGGAGGAATGTGGAAATGGATGACCTCGACGTCCCTAATACAGAAGACACAGGAAGGATGTACCGCTGTGGATACTCCTTCACTTCCTGAAGGAGAACACAAACTGTCTTTCCTCTGTCACCAATGGTCCAGAAAAAAGATTCTCCACTGAAACCTACTCAGCGTGTGTGTGGCTGAACGAGAGCACGCAGGAAGACAGCGCAGCGGCACCGACAGTGTGTTCCTTTTCTTGAGAACAGATGTGCTCACGCTTTCAAATCTTGTTCTTGAATATTAAAAATAGGGTAATTTCATCCAGAGGAATGAAGACATTCTTCATTAAATCCTATTTTCATTTGCCAAGTGCCCTTTTCAGGTAATTTGATTTCACGCTGAAAACAACATTGTAGCCATAACAGCAAGAAGCAGATTGAGAGGGAAAATGAGTAATCTTGCCAATGAAGAAATAAAAACTGTTCGTCCTTGCCCCATTCCTCTGTATTCATGGTCTATGTGTTTATTTTTACACAACCGGAACAGAAATTTGGCTTTTATGTTAGAGCAAAGATTAGTAATTGCTTTTCTGAACATCTAACTCTCTCAGTCTTTAAAATTCAGAACTTCCTCATTAACTTCCAGGAATCCAACGATCGGCAATTTAAAGAGCTTACTCTCCTTCCTACAAAGGGCAAGAGAAGTCAATAAATTATCCCTGACATGATGACTTGTGGTGGTGCATTTCTAGCTAGTTACGGTGATCTTCACTGTGTTGACGTCACAGGAAAAACGAGGCTGTAACACGCTCCCTATTTTGCTCGGCCCCATATGTATAACTTGGAGGTCCAAAAATAGAAAGTGTTGTTTATAATTACTATTTTTCTATGAAGAATAAATATTCCACCTTCCATGTATCCCTGCATCTATCCATTCATTCATCAATTGACTGACTACTCACCTATCCACCCACCTATTCATTTATTAATTCATGTATCCAACCATGCATGTATCCACCCACTGACTGACTCATCCACCTATCCACCATCTACTAATCCATCCATCCATCCATCCACCCACCCACCCAGGCATCTAACCATGCATCCATCCATCCACCCATTGACTAACTCATTTCCATCCATCCATCCATCCATCCATCCATCCATCCATCCACCCACCCACCCAGGCATCTAGCCATGCATCCATCCATCCACCCATTGACTAACTCATCTATCTGTCCACCATCTACTCACTCTCATCCATCCATCCATCCACCCACTCATCCATTCATGCATCCAATCACCCATCATACATTCACCTAGGACTTACTCTTGTGAAACCTAGGTACAGCAGTGAATAAAGCAGATAGTGACACTGTTATTAACCCAAATGGAATGACTTTCCTATTTTAATCTTCAATTATTGGAGAGTACAATAATAAGCTGATAAGCCTACGACAAGAAGCTAAAGGCTAAAGAAGATCGGAGATGTGAACTACTTCCCCCCAAGGCCCGAGAGCTCCCAGCCAGGTGACCTTGGGCCCTAAGTGAGGGAAGCCTGCAGGTTTGAAGCTGACTTTCCAGGAGGAGAGAGGCACAGCCTGTCTGTGAGAACACACTTCAGTGAGGAGGATGACAAGAAGCCAGAGCCCAGGCAGTGAGGGTGAGGTGACTGAGCCAGGAGAGGCCAGAGCAGGAAAGAGGGCACAGGGCCTGAAGGTCTGTGTTGGCTTTTCCTCATCACCGAGTGGAAGAGATAGGTGGACGGCAATGTGGGAAGCCATCGTCCACTCAGAAACATCAGCAGGGGAGCTGCTGCTCGGGGGTCGACCAGGGAAGACAGGGCAGGGACAAGGAGAAGGCAACAGTAGTTGTCCCGAGCAGCCGTGGTGCACGGGGAGAAGTTGAGCTCTGGGCTTGTAGAAGTTTGTCAGCACTGTGGTCTCAAGCAGGCCAGACAAGCCCAGTGTCAGGACGCACCTGTGACATGGTGTTGTGTTCAAAGACTTCTCCGAGTCTCTTTCCCTCTCATCTCAAGTCAGGGCCCTGTGTTCGTTACATGGCACCTTTCTACCATGGCAGCTCTACCACCAAGCCAACCCAAGTTCCTCCTTGTTCCTGGAGCAAGCCGTTCTGTCCAGCCAGCCTTCCCTCATCACCCCACAGCCCTGCGCACACAGCTCTTACTGGAAACGTTCTTTACCTTCATGTCTCCAGGCGGGCACCTTGAACTCTATAGTTATCTGCTAAAATACCTCCTCTGACATTTTGGGAAGCCGTGCCTGGTTTCAGTGCTGTTCTTCCATCTGTGCACAATGACAACTCTTCAAATATCCTGCTGTGACATTACTGTACTGTTAAGTTATAAACTTAATACTGTGCCATAAGTTATCAGACTGGAAACTCCTTAAGGACACGGCTCTCTTGCTATAGTTAAGGTCCTATGGTCTGCTGCACAACTTGGAATGACACAGTGTGCGAGGCCTATGTGTTGGACAGAGGGATGAATGGATGGATACCTTTATAAAAAGCAATTTGTATTTGCTGGTATTGTCTGGCAGAGAAAGAACTGACTGACACAGAATACAAAGGGTTAATACGAACCCAGTTACATTAATGTAATTTAGTAAGACTTACTAGCGAAAGTCCATGGGTAGTAATGAATCCCCAGATGAGTCACGCAAACTGACGTGCGCAGCTGGTGACCCCCAACCTTTGTTACTTCACTGTGGTTGACACTTAATTTTAACTCGGGCAACAACAATAAACGATGATGGTGATGAAGATGGTGGTGGTGGTGGTGAACTAACAAGCGATTCCTTTCCCAATGGTTTGCCTAAACACAGAATGTGGCCACTTTAGTCATTCGTCATTGGTGTTTGATGTTTCCTGTGCTAGCTGTGTATCTGAAATGGAAGAAGCACAGACTAAATTATAACTGAGGTCACCACCGTGTCCTGGGAGCTGACTCAGGAAGGATTCCGCTGCGTGCTGTTTGCTTTTCTCCCAGGGCCACAGCCTGAGGATGCTGTGCATTCGCCGCTGGGAGGGCGTGTGTTTTCTTCTTTATGAAAGCCTGACCCACCTCTCTTGCCTCAGCTCTATCACTTTTGTTAATTTCCATTTCCCTCACTCCCCTTTCAAATACTGAGCCTTATGATGAATGAAGACTACGGGGCCAACAGAAAACCGAAGTGACTTTAAAAGCCACAGACATGGGAGGCGGGAGGTGAGAGGAGCTGACAGCTTGGGCAGTGTAAGGACTAGGAGTAAATGTTTTTGAGAGCACATTGTAATTTAAGAAAAGAATGGAAACTCATGGCTGCCACTGTTAAATAACACTTCAGGGCTGGAGAGATGGCTCAGTGGCTAAGAGCACTGGCTGCTCTTGCAGAGGACCCGGGTTTGATTCCCAGCACCCACATGGCAGCTGACATCTGTCCGTAACTCCAGTTCCAGGAGATCCAAAGCCCTCTTCCAACCTCCTTGGGCATTGTATGACATGGGTGCACTTATAGGTAGGCAATACACTCCTACACATAAAATTTAAAGATAACACTTCAGTAACATCTGATACATAGCAGGAAGAAACTC